GGATAAAACTCAAAAGACAAGAGCTGGCTCATTCACACATTACATGACAAAGATGCTCCAAGTGCTACCACTTGTAACTATGGGTGTTTCCAAATTAACCAGAGCTGAAACTTAAGGAATTATAACTGCAGTCACCTTGGATAATCATTTTTAGAGCGTTAGGTCTAGAAAATAAAAAGACACAAAACAGCAGCTACATGATTCATTTGAGTTTTGAATCTTCATTTTCTTTGTAGTAGGATTTGCCTTCTCTTGCTGCTCCTTTTTTTTTTAATCAACTAGTTTCCAGTTTTTGAAAATACCATGTCTATTCAGTCAATAATGTTCATGGCAGGGACTTTTTTGGGGGGGAAGTAACTGGGGATACGGAACCAAAATGGTTCCACTGTTGGAAAAGTGGCTTTACTGTAAGAGTCTAATAGGAAATAGCCTTAAGAGCTGCCATAGGGTGACTTTGGGTTGTTGGATCCTGTAGCATTACATCAACCTGATGTCCTCATTAGTAGTGCCTTATTTTGATGATACATTTTGGTAGACAAGAAAAAGCGAGACAGCAAAGCCAATTAAAATGTTTGCTTACTTTTAGGACTATCTTTATGTCTCTCTGACATGTGAGTTGTTGAATCAGAGGCCATCACCAGTGATGAGATAACGTCTGTATGATGACTTCATACAGGAAGTCTAAATAAGCTTAGGAGGAGAGCAATATAGGATTCCCCCTGGGGATGGACAACAGGATGCTCCCTCCTCCTTCTCATTCTCGATGTGTCTGTCTGGATCCTCCTCTGTTCATCATAGAGCGGCAAGGATGACTGAAGTGTAGAGGACAGAAAAGCTGAATGATCCCTTGTCATGAATAAGGTTTCAGGGAAGTGGAGGTAGTGGCCAAATACTCATGTGTAGGGATTTAAAAGCCTCAGAATGATTCTGTTTTTATTTCTTGAAATGTTTTCTCACAGAGTAATAGTAGATCTTTGGTGTGTTGTCACATCTCAATAACATTTGGAGTCTCACTTCTAGCTATATAATCCTCTTATAAGAGTTTCCTTGATGGAGCTGGTGTTTTGTTTGGTATAGCTGTAAAGCCTGTTTCGTTTCAAACCCCTCCTCAGCCTGTCACTTTTTTTTAGGGAAGGGGGTTGGTGGGTTGTGTGGAAAAGTAGCACTTGCTGGTATTGTTCGTTGGGTGGAAGCTCCTTATCCTGGGGGCTGTGTTTGAATTGGAAGGTGGGGGGTGGAGGAGAAAGAGGGCGAGAGAGAAGGAGGGAGGTGCTGGCGAGGAGGATGGTGGAGTTTGGTATTCTGCTCTGCCTCCCAGACAAAAAAAAAAAAAAAAAAAAAAAAAAACTTTTTTTCTTTCCCTCACACACAAACACTTTGACTCTGTGAGAAAAAAGAGGATCCTTCGAGGGTTATCGAAGTTCAATGCAAGAATAATGTGAGCGCCATTAAAAATGTTCTTTAAACACAGCTGACTTGGAGCACATTGTGCATTCCTTTACAACATCACAAAGTGGTACGAACCAAAAAAAAATGTACAGTTTAAAGAACACAAACACAGTTACTGGACTGCAACACTGGAGCACATAAGTGTGAAAGATTTACAGACGGAGGAGGGGATGAGCAAAGGGAAGAAGGGTAAAAGAGAGAGAGAGAGAGTTGTGTGTGTGAGTGTCTCCATGGTGATGTGTCTCTGCTCTGCGTGAGAATGGGGGTCCTTTATTGGTTGCTATGCCAACCCCGTCGGCTGTTGATTGGCCAAGAGCTGGTGCCAGGTCATAGGTCACGGAGGTGTCTTTGTATTCTTCTCGTCCAAACAGTGTCTACTGCGAATGTGTGTGTGTGTGTGTGTGTGTGTTTGAAGTAAGACTGCAGGAAGTCAAATAATAGAAAAAAGAAAGAGAACAAAAAACTTTTACCCTTTCTTTTTCCTTCCTTTCCTCATCTTCTTCCCTGGGCTAATTTCTCTTCTTGTCTCTTTCCTTGTCCTCCTTCCTTCCCTCCTTTACCCTTCTTATTCATCATCCTCTCCTCTCTGGACTGCCTCCACTTTATTCTTCTTCTGTCCTTTCCTTCACTTCCTTCACCAACTTCTTCCCTTGTCCGCCTTTATCACCCCCCCACCCCAATCACCCGCATCCTGTTTCCTCTGTCCTCATAGGCAAGTTCAAGTTGTTGGATGAAGACCGGGACGTCAGGGATCCGGTCCAGTATTTCTCCAGTGTGGAGGAAGTTGCTGGAGTCTTCCCTGACCGGGTCTTTGTCATGGAGACAATCACCTTTAGTGTCAAGGTTAGCACTTTTTCACATCTTCATATAATGCATTTCCGGCTCTACTTTACTTTATTTCGCCTTTAGTAGGCAGGTAATATTCTCTCTAGGATTTTCAGTAGCATGACTAAGTCTGCACGCAACCCTGTAGCAATGCATTATCACATCCACTTATCCATGCCTGTGTGCTGCAGGTTGTTTCAGGGGAGTTCAGTGAGGACAGTGAGCCCTACAGCTTCACTCTGCAGGCTGGAGATGAGCTGTCACTCATGGGGAAAGCGGAGCTTCTCTGTGCCACACCGTCTAAGGAAAAGACGGGATTGAGCGCGCTCCTGAGACGCCTGGGAAAGACTCCTAGGAGTAAGTAAAGGCCAAATTCAGTGTGTTGAGGTCTGTGTTTCACAGTCCTATTTCAGTGGTTGCATATGAGAATAAGGAAGAGGGAATGAGTGACATTAGTGGCAATACTGTATGGGATGAAATATTCATTGATTGATATGGATGATTGATGAACTGGTTGGTTCAGTTCAAAGATTATAACTCTTGAAAAGGCTGAAAATTAAATATCTATAAAACTACAACTTCTGCAAAAAAAAGGTGCTTTATATCTTTGTCTTCTTTCACAAGAAGAAAAAAATGGGTTTATAGTTGTTAAAAGGCGTCCAGTCGCCATTTTTGTGTTTCTTTCATTCGTGGACCAAGCTGTGATCACAGAAGGTTTGCTGTAGGAGCTGAGCAGATCACCAAGCCTTTCTTTAGCTCGCTTAATATTGTTTTCACTATCAGCAACATCTTCATCTCCACCAACATCAGAAACTTGTAAGGAGAAAACACAAGCTGCACAAGTTCACTCCTGTAGGTCTGATATTTAGTTAGTAGTTAGGAGGCGCACATCAGCATAGCACACAGCTCTGTGGGTACAGCCAAACCCCTAAAGCACAACTGTGGATTCTTCACATTTTGGTTACCGTAAAAAAAGAAATACGAGAGGTCCGTGTCCGACTGGAAACACAAGGGGAATGTTAAGCTTGTGTTTCCAGTCGGACACGGACCTCCCCGACCAAGCCTACTGTTTGGCTGTCGGAGAACATGATATGCAAGTTTAACAACACATATCTTGAACTGCACATTATTGTCGTCTTTCTTTATCCAAGTATTTCCAGACATTGCTTTCCCTAGTCACGGCTGCCACGGTGCACGTTACGTAACGCCAACTGAGTTGAATTTATGTAGCCAAAAACAACACGTGCACAGGTGTTAACCCTTTTAAACCTTTGTCATTCCACTTTTCTTTCTGCGCCTCTTCAGGTAAAACTCCCTGCCTGGTCTGTATGAACCATCGCACCAATCAGAGTGTCAGCTTGCCCTTTGGCTGCCGTGGACGCTTTTGCACACGCTCCCCTCTGGAACAAGGCATGCTGGGAGGGGAGCACACGGTACGAAGCATAATCGAGAGAGTTCGCCTCCCTGTCAATGTGTCCGTACCTTCACGACCACCACGGAACCCCTACGACCGCCATGCGGTCCGAGAGGGCCACCGCTACAAGCTGCTCAACATCGTCAGCAAGACGGTGGTGCTCTGCATGGTACTACGCCGACAGGAGGTCTCCCCCTCCCATTTCCTGCTGCTGCGTTGCATGCCCCGGTTTAATGTGGCCGAGGTCTCCGTTCACACAGCGGCGCTGGAGAGCCTCCTGTTGCGACACGCATTTGACCCAGATGCCTACTCTCGTGCAGTTAGAGAAACCCGGCCAGAGCTGGAGTGTATGACCGAGGAGTGTGTGAGCCCACGGCGCTCTCGCATGTGTGTGTCGGGTCAGGACTCATTGGCACCGGCACTGCAGCGCCTCTCAATGTGCGGGTATGGGGGAGGGGTTTCGGACAGCCTATCACAGCGCTGTAGGGACTCTCTTGGAGAGAGACTCGGGGAGGGACCAGGTGAGGAGAGGGAGTATGTGACTCCTGAATGGACTGAGGCTGAAATGAGGACCAGTGAGGAAATCCCTTACGAGGAACTCTGGACCAATCAGAACGCAGAGGGTTTGGGGAAGGAGCCAAACCTCATCTCCTTCCATTCGTCTTCCTCACTGGACGGTTCTCTTGGTACTGTGGTGACAAGAGTGTCTACCCCGCCACCTGTACCTCCAAAATCTGATGCTGTGAGTTTCAGTCTTTAACTCTTTGTCTTTCTTTTTGTTCTTCTGTCTCTTATTCCTCTTATCTGTCCACAGCAGCATCCGGCTGTTAAAAGTCAGGATGCCTGGCTTGAATTATTCATACATTACAGCTTTTAAACCTCACTGACCACACAAACATGTGCAAACGCGCGCGCACATGCACACACACACACACACACACACACACACACACACACACACACACCACAGCTTTCCTGGAAAGGCCGTCATACACTCACAGCCCATGTGCTCAGAGCATATGAATACATACGTCATCACTAAGGATGCAGTTACATGTTTGCTGTATTTATTGCTTCATATTAGTCTGTGTTTTTTTTCATATAATAAAAAAATGCATTAAAAAATATATAATAAAAACGAAGATCAGTTCCCATAACCCAAGGTCATGTTCATATAGCTTTATGTATGAACAACAGTTAAAATCCCAAACATATTCAATTTAATTTCATTTACCAGTCATATAAAACTCTGGAAAGAGAGACTTCTTTACATTTTTTGCTTGACAAATGGCTTAAACAATTAATCGATTTTTAGAATTGTTCTTGATTGTTTTTCTGTTGATCAAGTAAATGTTGAAACATTAATGCAGTTATTTCAAACCACCTTTCCTTAGTTTTTATTCGTTTTTATGACAAAACGAGTCATAAAACCCTCCTCCTGCACAGCCTGTGTTCCACCAGCTTTTTAAGGGTTCAGTCATGGGTTTATTTATTAGGGTTTTTTTTTTTTTTTTTTTATGAAAAGCTGCAACCCGTTCCTGTTGTCTCAATTTCAAGCTAAATGGAAAATCTGAACACCTGATAAATTTAACAAATAATTATTATTATTTTGTGTACATTCAAACCCTATGACCTCCAGTGGAAAAGAGATTAGTTAGGAAAGGGGAAAGGACTTGGTTCTTTCTTATAGAGGAAAGGCTCTTGATATCAGTCCTGTGTACTTGACTCAGTAGTTATTTGTGGTAACCCAGTTACTCTCCCTCTAATGATTGAAAATGACGTACATACTGTAGCAAGCAGACAGCAAGAAAAGTACAAACATTAATGAACAATGTGTGGTGCTGTCATTACTGTGGTACATCACTTTGAGATGAACAAAAAAAATTGTAACAAAATGTATGTGTAGGGTTGTTGTGCAGTGCTGCAGTTCCTCATGCTCCTTATGTTCCTCTGTATGAAAAACACCCTAAAAACCAAATGGTTTTAAAACCAGAGAATGTTGTGTCATGTTGAAATCAAGCTTGTTTTTGTTGCTGCTGTTCCCCACCGTCCGTGTTCATATGTTAGTGCATATGGTGTCTGTGTTTGAAAGGGGGGCCATTATCATGCTTGTTTTGTTTAATTAACTTTTTTCTTTTGAAGTGATGGCAGCTAACAGCAGTACAGAGAGGGTGTGTGGGTGCTGATGTCTGCTATGCAGCTGGATTATACCCTGTCACACACATCGTTCCTCATTCCCTGATATTTAGCCTGCCAAGACACGACAGGAGTGTGTGCATATGTGTGTGTCTGTGTGTGTTTGTTTGTGTATGTGTGTGTGTGAAGAGCTTTTTACTGGGTGTGAGGGAGTTTGTTTGAGGTGTAAAGGTCACAAAGTTTGACATTTACCAAGCAGAACATTGAGATAAGTCAGCAGACACACACTCACACACAAACTAAAACCTCCTGAGAAGTCAAGTTTTAGGAGTTACAGTTTTTTGCTGTTTTAGCTCTCATTTTTTCTATGTGTGTGTTTGTATGTAGGTGAGAGAGGAATGTCGCTACTTGATTGCCCCTCCGGTCCCCCCTCGCTGCTCTAAGGGGGGATCCATTTCCAGTCCGGCCCCCAGCCCACCCGTCCCACCTCGCTTCCCCAAAACCTCCACCTCCCCGAGACCCAACCTCTCCTTCTACTCCTCTGGACTTCAGGACAGGTACAGTATGACAGTTTTGTTGTTACAAAAACATATAACAAATCAGCCTTTATATTATCAATAAATAATTATCACATTTATTTGGAATTATTAGTATAATTACTCAGAGAGCCTCTTCTGGAATCAACAGTTTTGATTTGCACATGCTTTATGGTACAAACAGGAAGAGGACAGCGTTCTTTTATGTCAAATTGTTCTTCACTGGCTACCAGTGTTTCCTAATCAAAGGATGACGTAAAATCTCATTGTTCTCACTCTGAATAGAGAACATAATAGGGATAATTGTAAATACAATCAGCCATGACCTTGGAAATAGCAACTGAGAAAAGAGAAAAGATTCTCAGCAAAAGCTCCATTAGTGAGCTGTTCTGGAGCTTTCGATTAGATGACATGATCTTCATCAGCAGATGGAGTTTGCCCACTTGTAATGTAACTGTAAATGTTCACAACACTTTAAACCTCAGGTTTCAAGCCAACATAAATGAGACATTCCTTAAAGTGCTCAGCAAGAAAGGGAATTTTACACATTTACAGTTACGTGTCTAGTTGACATAAAATAACTGTATCAACTGCATTTTAATTATAGTCATTTAAATACTGTTGAAATAATTCATATTGAAAATATCCATGTTTAGCCAGTTTTAACTTTAAAAGGTTAGATGTGTTTTGACCTGTAAGTCTGCTGCAAAAACATTTACCAGGAAAAGACTTATAGACTGTATAAACTATAGCCCAAAAATGTGTATGATTTCCGTTTTTCACATGGGATTTATTGGTGTTAAGTCATGATAACTTATTGTGGCAACTAATATCATTTCTCCTGCCCTGTGCCAGCTGCTCACCCTCTCCAGACGCTTCTCTCTACTGTTACCCATGCTCCTGGGCGGACTGCCCTGCCCCTAACCCCGCCAGTCCTGAGCCAGTCCCTGCCATCTCTGCAGACAACACAACCAATCCTCAGCCAGCACAGGCCACCTGGGCAGAGCCGTGGGTGGATTCTTTCACCTCCTCCGGACCCCGACTCAGGCCGCCACCTCCACAGAGTCGATTCGCTCCCTTTGGGGCGTTAAACCCCTTCAACCGCCAGTCCCCTTGCCCCTCACCTGAGCCTGCTGCCAATCCCACGACAGATTCCTCTAGAGGTGCAGAGGGCGGTGGGACATCCACAGGGATCACCGAAGGGCTGTCCCCGCCCCCTGACCCCACCTGGCGACCTCCTGCTGACCTGTCTGCTCTGTCATTGGAGGAGGTGTCGGCATGCCTGCGTTTCATTGGCCTATCAGAGGCAGCGGTAGCTGTATTTCAGAGGGAGCGAATTGACGGCAGTCTCCTGGTGCAGCTGACTGAGGACATCCTGTCACATGACTTCCACCTGAGTCGACTCCATGTCACCAAGATCACACAGTTCATACAGGGCTGGAGGCCCAAAATCTAACACACACACACACTGTCCTGATAATGTGCCTGTTGGCTCCTGAGCCTTCCTGAATGTGCCTTCCACTGTGACCAACTGGCTGCTGAGCCCCTCTGACTGAAGCTGAGACTTAGCTGAAGGAAACTGTGCCACCTTGTGGTCAAACTGTAGAACTGACACTTGATTGGCTCTCATTGTGAGAGTCTCCGACAGATTGACTGCATATTTCCTGTCTGAATCACAGACTGGGACTAGTTTACTAACAAATGGCTACAACAGAGAGCTACATGATGAAAGTGCCCTGTTTCAACTCATATTTGTGGCAGATAGTCAACCATGATACATCTTCATGCTACAAAACAGCAGAAAGGTTTTAAGCACTACTTACATTTGTGTGGCCTTCATGCTGTGGTCCCACATAAAATCTGAAATGAGGGGGAAACACGCATTCATTTTACGTAAAAAATACTATGACAAATCAACAGAATTCCTGCAGTTTTTACGCCTTGCATAAATTACACCGCAGTAAGAGTATGATGTGTGTTTTTACAATATAAGGAGCATTAAGGGATTCACAGCCTCTTTTGTTGACCAGTAGGAGATGTAACAATACAGATGTAACAATGAACCTGTCCCCTACACAAGTGTCTTGTAGAGCCTTCTTCATCTGTTTCATTGAGCTTTGGTGGCATGTAACTGGCAAAAATAAATAACAGTGAGAGGTTCTGTGGAGATAAGAAGGAGATAGTTGTGGACAGCTAAATAAAAAAAAGAAAAATACAGAAAGTCTGAAATCTTAGCACCCAATTAATTACTGAGTTTCTGGTGCTAATCGATGATTCACTGAACCCTCTCTGAATATACAGCATTCTGTATCAAGGCCATTTTGTGTTTTGCAACAGTGACATTTTTATTAACCCCCTTAAAAGGATACCACGAGATGTCTGTTGTCAGATACACAGATGTGTCGCCATGCTATAATAGAATTTTTGACCGCCTCAGAAATAGAGTTCGTACCTCAGATCACCTTTCCAGATATGCTTGATTTAGCCATGCATAATGGTTAGTAACATGATCACATAGCCATTTGATTTGTAGTTCTTCAGTATGCAACATGAGACAAAAAACATAATGGTGACTGCTTGAAAGAAATAGGTCCAGTATAACCAAACAGTGCAAGAAATGTCAGAATAATTTGAGAAGGATCCACAGCCCCATAAAAGACACTACAATTTGTCAAACAATCTGTTGAAGGATTAATAATATTGTATTAGATATTGAAACAATGGTTGTAGTTATTAAATCTAAATTAAATCATTTAGTAGGAACATGCCTTGCTTTCTGAAGTAAGTTGAAGGAATTTTTTTCTATTTTCTTAAATTTCATAGACCAAATGATTAATTCACTATTTGTAAAAAAAAATTAGTCAGCAGATAAATCAATAATGAAAATTATCATTACTTGCAGCCCTACATTTTTATTTCAGCTTTGGTATATAAATCCCTCCAAATCCAGCCCAATTATATACAAAATGACAAAATGTATCAATTATGCTACAGATTTGTCAGACAAGTCTCTTTTCTTAATGAGCAACAAAATGGCCAAACATCTTCCAGGACTAAAAAATTGTTGGTTCTGAATGAATCCGGACATCAGCAGATTGACAGACAGAAGTTTTCTTCCAGCTATTCAAATTAAATGGAGGCTTGCTTTATGAATTCTACACACATCCTGCATGATTAGGTGAATAAACTATTTGTACCGCCCTACAGGTACGGATGATAGTACTGTTACTATAACCTGGGACAAGTTAACCAGATAACTGTGAAAATGTAATTTATGTTGTTGTAAATGTTAAAGACAACTTGTTTATTAGTTCTTGTGATTTTCGTATTGCCATACAAGCTGCTGTTGCTCTCATAGTGTCTGAAATAATCCTCTTTAAATTCCATATTCCCAAAATTCCCAAAGGCTGCATACCAACTTCCTCAAAACTATTTCTCACGACATCTCGTAAACTCCATAACCCCCCCCCACCCCCCACGCACACACACACACTTTACCTCCACCTTGGTTCACTACACCTACATAATATTGATGTACTCTGTGATCATGTAACTGCAAGGCCACTGTAAGAAGAGCAATGAAGAAATAAATGAGAAAATAAAATAAATAGAAACTTAATGACCTCTGAAGATCACGTTATGCTCTCTTGTTTGCTCTGGCGGTTGTGGGGAGCCTTAGTCATAACAACACGCAGACAGGAGGTGATGAGGCTTATGGAAGATAAGGCTGAATACACTACCACAGTTACTGCATTGATAGAAAATAATATAACAAAACAGCATACCAGATCATTCAGTTTTCAGAGTGACTAGCTGTTTAGCCATGTGTAGTCGCAGACACAACGTCCAGTACAAGTTAATACATATTTCCAGGCAAAATATAACTGCCTACAAGTACAGCTCAAACATACCACTGCAACCATAGACTGTATAAGAAGATGGATGTAGTCTCTGTGACGTCATCCGTAGGTTTCTGAAGAACGGTTTTGAAGCTCTGCCGTCGCAATCTTGGCAGTGCATGACGTCAAAATAGACTATTGGACCAACTCCTTGCTTGTCCAAAAATGGCCAATGAGGTGCGACTGATGTGGAGCCGAGACTTCAGTGCAAGTCGGTTTACTGACTGTGGCAAGCATTCACGCCTGTTAGCATTGTCAGCACACCTGGGTGTCTGGGCGTCTTGCTCTCGCTTGGCTAACCTAAGCTAATTAGCTAGCTAATGAGCTAAGCTAACAAGCCAGGTGTGGTGAACGTATTAACCGATACCTGCTAATTAGTGTTAACATTTAAATAAAATAACACTAGACTTTCACTCACCTCAGAAAAACTTCCACACCTTCTGTTAGTCAATAAACCGCACAGCAAGGCATTTTATTTGTCTGGCATCTGCACGAAAAATCCTCCAGTTGGCACCAACACCACAAACATGGACGAGTGGTCACGTTGTTACTCGAATTAGCTGAGGTGACGCCTAGCGGACACTGAGGCGCTAGTCAACTGTGACGCACCCTCCTGTCACTCAAAGCGGCCACGCCCTCAATTATGTATAAATTTAAGCCATGTTAAAATTAACGGGTTAGTAAAAATCCCCCATCTGTTACAATTATAATACTCAGTCATGAGCTTCTTAATGGAGTTCTACCTTCACCTAGAGGAGCAAATCCCAGAAGATTACAGAAGTGCCATCTTTAAAATGAAGTACAGCGATGGAGCCACACGTAGAACATACCCAGAGGGTCCACAAGCTGGTGCACTAGACCCATCTTCTTTATCAGCCCTGATGTTCCTGCCTGTCAGCATCATGTCAAACGCTCCGGGGAGACCCACCTACACACACACACGTGCAGACAAGCAGGTTGCAGATATTGTGAGCTAATATCACCCCCAAGTGAGGCTCTTGACCTTAATATACTCCAGTGGAACTCAGTAGCCACTAGCACAAGACTGTGGCAATGCTTTCAAGCCATTAACTGAATAACTGATTAATATGAGTGTGTGCATGTATACCATTTTAGGCAGTCTCTGAGTGCCGCCTGCTCCAGGCAGCAGTCCCAGCACGACCTCCTCTGGTGATCTTTTTATATTTTGCTTTTGTGGTGATGCAGCACTGGCAGGCCATCATGAACTACAGAGAAGACACAAGATTGGGACTTGCGTGCTGACATCTTAGTCCACATAAGCAGCATTTTTGACAACTTCACACACACACACACTGTCGTACCTCGAGGCCTCCACCCAGGCAGGAGCCATGGATGGCAGTGACAACGGTGATGAAAGATTTCTCGGTCTTCTGACCTTCCTGAGAGAGACGGATGGCCTCTTACAGGACTGGATCATAGTGAGAGCGAAGAAAGCAATTCAGTGACATATTCTATTTATGTTTTAATGTGGACATAAGTTGACTGAATTTATTATATTAATGTTATGTTTTAATGAAGTGAGCTGTGTGCCTTCCTTGACATTTGTTTGCAGTTAGGGAAAGTTCAAAGTGTGTGAAAATAAAACAAACTCAACTTTTTTCTCACTTGTCCGAACCACATACACGTATGTAATGGAAATCCTTGTTCGAGCCCTAATAAGCCTACTTGATACCTGCACCGGTGATAAAGCAGACAGGCTTGCTGGAGATCAGGGGTGATTCCAGGATTTTTAAAATGAGGTGGCACAGTGTGGGGACCAAGAAGCAGTCTAGGTGGGGGCCCATGGGAAATCAGAAAATTCTTTCAGAAATACATACAGCATTGAAAATTGGTGTAGAAAACATTAGGCGCGTGTGCAGTGCCCTAATAAAGCTGGTAAAGTGACACCGACAGTACTCAAGCCCAGTGTCTTGACAGTGAGGTGATGCACTCTCTGACAGATGGAACCAATGTTGTTCATCACAGATATCAACTTATTATTTGAAATAATCAATACACTTCAGGACAGAGCCTTTACTAACATTTTTAGATTTTTCTTTTTACTTCTAGTAGCACTACGGAGCATTTTTTAATGAGTGGTTCCCCATTTTGTTTGTCTTGTGCACAGGCTCTCTGGTGACATGACACACATTCCTGGTGTCACACTATTCCGTTCATCTACAGGTGGCGAGAAAAAGGGATGTTACAGCACCCTGTTCTTTAAATGTGGCTGAAGTAATCCAGGTTCACATGCTGTTATCAAGATAAAATGATCCAGTTTATTCTAATCCAGCTACTTTGGCTCTTTGAAAGCTGCTTGAGGACTGATTTGTTGAGCTTGGATGAAGTTATCTTGAAAAACAGTGTGCTCTTATTTTGAAATAAAGGCAAAATGAGTGGAGAGATGAGATAAGCATTCAAATAACTGGCTTAGAACTGATCATGTAATTGCAGGTACTGGAGGAGCCCTCCCAGCATGCACTGGGGCAATAGATTCATGGACATAAGTCTTACTTTATGTTTACATTGCATTGTTAAGGATGTAACTTTGTCTACATTGTGCTCTGTAATGTTTCCAGTGGTTCCACATGTTCATCAATGTTAAATAATAATTGTTGGTGATTATATTATTATTAGCCAGAACAACCATTACATGATGTATTGTATCCATAGTTTTTCGCAATATAAGTAAGCATACAAAAGTATAAGTATAGTTTCACAATTTTTTTTACTCAGTTTAAATAGAAAACATCTGAGAGCTTCAGGCCAGCTGTTAACAATTTTACAACTTTAACAACAACAAAAAAAAACCTCTGTTATGACTATGGACATTGTCATCAATAAAACAGACACTGGATTATTGATTTTGTATTTCACATTTGACAGTAATGGATATATGCTGGGGAAAAAATGCTTGGAGAAAACTTACTTACATTTTATTTTGGAAAAGAGATACATAAAAGCCATGCACCAATACAAAACAGTCAAGATGTGAGTGAATATTAATATTGTTCCACATAAATATCAGGTGTTCACATCATCTTCCAGTCACTGCTGACCCTGGCATGTATTGACCATTTTCCATTTAGAGATTTTGGAGCCGATTCCTCAGATCTGAAGCCTCTGCTGCCATCTCCTCCTCGGATCTCCACTTGGAGGGAATGTCCTCAGTTTCTCGATCATGCTTCTGCAGCTCTTCGTAGACGCTGTCATTCTGCTCAAAGTCCCCCTTCTTCCTGGGCAGCACATGGACGTGGACATGCCTCACGGTTTGTCCGGCTTCAGGACCGTCCTGGATGGCAATGGTGAGCGAAGTGGCGTTGAAGTGCCTCTCCACCAGGTTGGCGACTGTTTGAGTGGCGCTGAATAAATCTGCCACCTCATCCGGCTGAAGATCTCGAAAACGCTCCACTGGTCTCAGAGGGCACACCAACACATGTCCAGGCACCACAGGCTTCCTGTTGACCAGAGCAAATGACAGCTCAGTCTGCAGGAACACAGCCGAGGCCTTGATGAGATGCTGTCCAAAGCGCAGGGTCGACATGTCCCACTGACTCACTGGTAATGTCAGGAGCTTGCTAATCTGTGAGTGACCAACAGCGACGTCTTCCAGCAGCTATTACTAGCTTGAAGCCTCTGTTTGCGATGTCTTGCAGTAAACTCCGACCAAACATACACCTGTCATCTTCACCGTTGGGAGCGCAAGAGTGCCGTTCATGGTGCCGGTCGAATGGCAAACCGGATGAGGACCTCCCAACACGCTGAAATAGCGACGGAGCCTAACATGTTAATGCGCTCATATCGTTATCTTTTGCTTGGAAAAAAAATCTAAATATTTTTTAATGTAATATTTTTTTATGATTTGAGTATTGAATTTACTCTTAAACACAAGCAGGTATGTAGCTAATCATTTAGTTGCACCTGTGTTTTCTTCAGGCATCATTTTGGTCAGCAATAGTGTGGACGGGTCCTTAAGAGCGGTTAGCGGGTATTGTAGTCCGGTAGCGCTGCTGAAGTGGCTGATCGTTTGACTGGGAGGCAGTGTCAGCAAAGACATATCACACGTACAGGTAAGCTTCAACTTAGCTATCAACATTGATAATAAAACTAGAAAGAGAATAGACATGATGTAATTTCAACAAATACGTGTCTTCATCCCAAACATAGCGAAATAGATCACAACTCAATGGAAACTTTTGCTAACAATTAGCTAGCTTTATTAGCTTGCGTGGAGCTTCCAGCTTCATTGTTGTGCTATTTAGGTTGTTCGGCAATGTTGTTTTTGATCAGAGTAAACGTTTTTTGAAGGAACCACATACTTGTTGTGCTGTATACAGGTCTGACCCTGTTTGATACCCGTAATTGTGCATTTACGTCCCTGTTATGCTGCAGGATAGGAAACTAGGTGAAGGGTCAGAGCTGGGGTAGGGGGGTTGGGCTGGGTGACCGACAATGATATGTCATATTATGCCACTATCATTAAACACAGAAAAAAGACATATTATGTGTCAGACCTTTTCTCTTAGTTTAAATCTGTATTAAAAATTAAAATCCCATTCACATATTTCAGTCTTTTCTGCAAACATTAGGGATGTGTCAAGCTGAATGCAAGTGACCTGTCATGTTTTACCACACATGATCTGCATAGTCTTACGTCTGAGTAAGCTAATTATAAACAGTCAAGCAAGCCCCGGTACTGACGGTTTATTACGTGCAGTGCGAGATTCAGACATTCAAATCACAGGTGCTTAACACAGCTGACCTTTTGCCTACTGAAGTGAGAGACAGTGTAGTGTGGTTATATCACTCTCCGGGCTGCACTATCACTATAATAATGGTAACACATACTCTATAGTCCCCATTCGTTATGCACAGTGTTGGAAGAAGTGCTTAATTTAAGTAAATGTAGCAATACCACAGTGTAGAAATACTCTGTTACAAGTCAAAGTCCTGCATTCAAAGGAACAAAAGTATTAGCATTAAAATATCAAGTATCAAAAGTACTCATTAGGCAGAATATCCCATTTCAGAATCATATATATTATATTCTTGGATCATAATTGTTGATAAATGTGTACATCACTCATTAACATTGCAGCTGGTAAAGGCGGAGCTGATTATAATTCCTTCATATACTTCACATTTTCTGAAGACATTATAGATATATATGTACTGAGCTGCGAGGGCATGTACACTCAGTTGTCAGTTTATTAGGTACACCTAGCTGAAACAAGTGCAGTTGAATACAACAGTCCAGCAATAATTCTTCTGTAATGCTAAATTTTTGTTATAGCTGTTTTAGGGAGGTGTTGATTCAACTGTGTGGTCACTATAATTGCATTATACAGAGAGGTGCTTCTGAGAACGATGCAGTAACGACCATAGTTTCTTTCTATGTAGGACATCATGGCTTCTATGTTGCTGAACTCAATGCGGAGCTGCTCTGTCAGCCCGTCCTGGGCGGTACGGATTGGTGAGTTATCTGCCTCCTTCTTTGTAGCAGTTTAACAGATTCCAAAATATGTCAAAGCAATAGGTAAAATATTCTATCACGCTATCACAAATGCAAGATACACCAAAAGCAAATTGTTTTCTCTTTCAGTGTTTCGTTATGAATACATGCTGTGTATTAGTAGTTACAATAATATGATCTTTTTCCACTGTCACCTTTGTTTAAGTCTTTTCAATTGTCACACTACTTGGTGATCCAATCTAAAATATAGACATTTGCTGTGTAGATTCAGGCCGCACCAACACTGTTATCTGCTTCTGTTGTTTTATAGTATGTACTGATAGTCATTCAAGCTGTTTGTAGTTTGAAGTAATTCAAAATGAGGATGATGAGGAATATTTGTCTCTGTGTCTCAGGGGCACGCTCTCTCAGCACGACGGCCCAGCTTCAGGCTCAGGGTAAGTCTAAGTGATATCATTTACATTCACATAAAAATGTAGATTATAGTCTTGTGGAGATCACACAGAATGTCAGCTAAACATTTTAAGTTTTTCTTTACTTCATGTCTTCTCTATCTTTTAGTTCAGACAAAGAGCAAGAAGACACTGGCTCGGCCTGGTGTGAAGAACGTGGTGCTGGTGGAGGGCGTTCGAACCCCTTTCCTGTTGTCTGGAACCACGTACGTCTCCACTTTTTTTCTTATAGCTAAGCTGACTGGATGGAGTCTGTGGCTTCATAAGTTCATGGTGCTTTGATAAGAACACTGCTCAAAAAAGGTTGTTTGACCTGGAGGTGATTAGAAACATAAAATGATTATTTTTGGCATTTAAATGTTGAATAGTCAAGGAAAAAATTACTTGTTTTACAGAGAGAAAATCTTGTATGAGGCTAAAAGCTGTTCTAATTTGTGTTTGTGTTTACAGATATGCTGACCTGATGCCCCATGACCTGGCCAGAGCAGCTCTGCAGTAAGTGTGTCCTAATGTTGTGTTTTTTTTTCTGTTAACTGTGTAATAAAACAAGCAAGTCCTCCATTAGCAGCTGTTTAAACACAATAAATCTAGGTGAAGTCAGCTGACCGAGTGTGTAGTTGATCTAATTAACCACCCAGATTTTTTATGTTGGCCACCAAGCACCAGTGACATTAAAGACTAACCTACGTCCACTTTTTTGAGTTAGTAAATTACATGTGCAGTAACTTTATTGCTCTGTGAATTGAACCTAGTCCCGTTCTATTCATTACATAGAAGTAATTTCCCTCTGCTCAGAGAATCCAGTAATTCTGTCTTCTAGACCTCCATGACCCTGGTTAACAATGGTTCTGTGAATTACTGGTGACCTTCACATGTAATATCTAGTCAAGTCAAGTTTTATTTATATAGCCCAATATCACAATATCTGTCCGTAGACCCCTGAATCAGATAAGGAAAAAACTCTGAAAAACACTCAGGAAGAGCAACAGAGGAGGGATCCCTCTTTCAGGATGAACAGTCGTGCAATAGATGTGATGTGATGTGTACAGAATAGAGCACATCATAGATTTACAGTATGGACGTATAAATTGTAAATATTGAAAACATCTGAAAGTGTCAGTTTAGACAGGGTAAGATATTCCCTCAGGATGTTGTTTTGTTAAGTGCTACTGTGATTTGGGTTTCTCCAGAGGTCTGCTGCACAGGACAGGCTTATCCAAAGATGCTGTAGACTACATCATCTATGGAACAGTCATCCAGGAGGTTAAAACCAGCAATGTAGCAAGAGAGGTACACAACTAACGGAGCATTTTGTAGTCTGCAAATCATCAGCAATTGGACTTTTCCAGGAGAATCCAAAACTTTTTCACATTTGTGTGAACATGATAAAGAGAGCTGCTGTTCTGTTGTGCATCTCCTTCATATTTGACTTAATTTCAGGCAGCACTGGGTGCAGGCTTCTCTGACAAGATCCCAGCTCACACCGTCACCATGGCCTGCATCTCTTCAAACCAGGCAATGACCTCAGGTATGTCAGGGACAGAAATCTCTACACCGGGCCTCTTCCAGTTCACATGCACTGTATGTTTTGGGCTGGACTGGTGATAATGTTTGACCTCTCTCCCTCTCCTTCTGTCCAGCTGTTGGTCTGATTGCTGCAGGCCAGTGTGACGCTGTTGTTGCAGGCGGGGTGGAGTTCATGTCGGATGTTCCTATCCGTCACAGCCGTAAGATGAGGAAGACCATGCTGTCCCTCAACAAAGCAAAGACCCTTGGTCAGAAGCTCGGTCTGCTCGGCAGCATCCGGCTGGCGCACCTCTCACCAGAGGTAGATATTCACTTAAAATCTCCCAACACTTGCACTTAATTCCAAAGTCCTTCCCTTTGATCTTTGACATACAGTCCGGTGTTTCCTCCTGTAACCTTTTTATTACGTGTGTAGCTTCCCGCTGTGGCTGAGTTCTCCACAGCTGAAACCATGGGCCACAGCGCCGATCGTCTGGCTGCTGCGTTTGGGGTCTCCAGACTGGAGCAGGATGAGTTCGCTCTGCGATCACACTCTCTCGCCAAAAAGGCCCAGGATGATGGTCTTCTGCAGGATGTCATCTCCTTTAAAGTACCAGGTAAACACTGCTTCACACTTTAAACTGAAATACATGACATTGCAAATTAAAGGTTTAGGATGGTTCTATATGTTGTATTAATTAATTTTATGGATGGTGGTGTACCTGTTACCTGTTGTTGGTTACATTGTCGTTATCAGTCCATGTCATTTGTCTTGTTCTTCTCTGGTGAATTGATTCACTGATTTAGCTTATAAATGCTAATTTGAACCATTTACCTCAGTTGTACATGGTGTGTAGAGCTGAAACAATTAATTGCTTAATCGAGTGACAGAAAAACATTTTTGATAAGAAATTTATCTTTTTTTTTTCTTTTTTTTTCTTTTTAGCAAAAATGCCCAAAATTTGCTCATTCCAGCCTCTTTATTATTAGATTTTGGGCTGTTGTTTGGACAGCTTAAAAACCAAAATGATTTATTGATTAAAATAATTAGCAATCATTACTAAAAGCCCTACTTGTGTGTTGTTACTGATTTGGTTTATCAGTTTTTTTCTTATTTAAAAATGTATTAATTAAATAATAATAACATAATAATTAAAAGATATTAATGTTTACTACATTTTTATTGTGTGGCCCACAGGAAGATTAGCAACTGCTACAACAGAAGCTAATGGGGATCCAATAAAATAAACATTAATTGCATTTAAGCAACAATCATGTATTTCTGTCCATTTCTCTAACATGTTGTCTGTCCCA